TAATCTTTAGTTATTATTGTTTTTTGGAGAGAACAGGCAGCCAATGTGCATAGAGATTTGGTGTGGGTAAACAGTGCAGCCTCAGGCTTGGTCTGTACTACCAGCTTATGTTGGTATAAGTACTTTGGTCAGGGGTCTGGAAAATCCACAGAACTAGTGTCCTGCCCTTCATGGTGGGGAGCGGCTGCTTTGCAGGGGTGCGGAGTCCGGAGGGGGCAAATGATGTGTGGTCTGTCTGGTTGGGAGAGCTGACAACCCTACGCAGGAGCAGGTCAGGTCAGGAGGCTCACCTGCAGCGTAAGGGCTTACCTTGGGGAATCAGAGTAACTACGCTGACGAGAGAGCTTTACTCATCTGTGTAGGTAGCATCTTCACTAAGCACAACTGCAGCACTATTAGGGTATGTCTAGACTACATGTCTCCATCGACGGAACCATATAGATTTGTTTACTAGACAAAGGGAAATGAAGCGGCGATTTAAATAATCGCCGCTTCATTTAAATTAAAATGGCTGCCGCACTGTGCTGATCAGCTGTTTGGCAGCACAGCGCAGTAGTCTGGACGCTTCATGGTCGACATCAAAGGCATTTGTTGACCTCCCCGGTAAACTCCATCCCACGAGGCATAACGGGGAGGTCGACAAATGCCTTTGATGTCAACTGCAGAGCGTCCAGACTACCGTGCTGTGCCGCCAAACAGCTGGTCGGCACAACACAGCCGCCATTTTAATTTAAATGAAGCGGCGATTATTTAAATCACCACTTCATTTCCCTATGTCTAGAAACCTAATCTACATGGCTCCATTGACGGAGCCATGTAGTCTACACATACCCTTAGTGTAGACAAGCCTTCAGTGTTAGCTAGATTCTACAGCTCCTGCCTAGGCAAAACTCTTATTGACTCCAAAGAGTTTTGCCTGAGAGAGGGCAACAGGATCAAGTCCCAGAGAAAAATGCTATAAATACCACCTGCCATAGAAAATATTAGAGCTTAAAAAAATTGGTATTCAAAAAGAATAAATATTATCAAATACTTTAATTAATAAATTCAGATATTTAGGGTAAAAAATATAGATGAATTTTACATCAAATTGTAACTTTTTTTTCTCAGATGAATTATCACCTGCTTTCTCTGAGCAACAAAACAGAGAACAAATTCTGGCAAGCTTGGAAAGATTTATTAGAAAAGAATATAATGGTATGTAATAATAGGTAACCATGTATCATTTGCTGTTAAAATGTCACCCTTAATTCCAGTTGTTCAGCCCATTAATATATAATTGTCTTTCTTTGTTCCTTTGTCTTCTTTAAAATAGTGGCATCTTCCTTTTAAGTGTGTATATAAAGTTACCTGAAGACATATAAACTCAATCCTAAATCCTACTCTGGCCCCTTTTTGGTGATGGCAACTGGTGCCTCTCCCCAGCATGGAAGAAAGCCTGTGTGATGTAGGTTGAAATAACCAAACCGTTGCTGACTAGGGATGTAAAGGAGTAACCAGTTAAGTGAACAAAGCAGCCCCTCACCCGCATAGAAAACTAAGTGATTTCTCTAAGGTCACACAGGAAGTCTGTAGCACAATCAGGAATTGAACCAGAGGTCACTAGAGTTTCAGTCTATTGACTATTCTTCCAGAATTGGCAGGAAGTTCAGGTAGCTCTGAAAGTTTCTTTTGAAGCTCCACCCTTCAGCTGTGCTCTCTTCTTATTGGTGACAGCTGAGGATTGAGAGCACTATTTTTCTGTCTCAGAAGCTTAAGACTGAAGGATTCCATCAAAGGTTTGAAAGTAGTTATGAGCTGATGTAGTTTCTTATAGTTCATTTAAAACTGAAAAAAATTACAGTGATATAAAGCAGATCATTCAGAAAGAAATCCTCAGTTATGTTACTATACTTATTAAAATATGAATGAAAATAAATTTTAAACAAATGGAATGGCTAAGCCAAAGTGGAAATAAAAAGTTTCATCCAGAAGCTGCTATGACTTCATTAGTTGCATCTTGTACTGTAGACTAAGGATGTGAATGGTTAACTGGGTGACCTTATTGGGTGATGCTTTCGGGTACCAATTAACCAGTACCCAGCAGCAGCCCGTGCTGTAGCCCCTTGAGGATTGGGAGCTGTCCCCCTGCATAGGGGTGGGATGTGGGGGAATGGAAACTGGCTGCCTGTGCTAGGGGGTGGGGAGGAGTCAGTTGTGTCGTTCCTCCCCCGCCCCGCAGGAGCTGAGAACCTTGTGTGTGCTGGGGCCAGGAGCAGAATACAGTCCCCCTCCCCCCCCCCTGCTCCGGGTGCACATCTGCTGACTCCTGTCTCCCCCTCACCTCCCCTGTGGGGCAGCAGCTGCAACCCACTTAATTGGTTAACCAATTAAACCTAAGGTGTAACCCATTAACCAGGATTTACATCTCTGCCATTGACTCTGGTTAATGGGCACAGAGGAACATCCCAATCAACCAAACTTTCCTAGTAACAGAAAATGGGATTTTCATAATACTGATGGAATTATCGTGATTTTGCAGGATATTACCAAAACACCAATTTAACCTTAAATTTCTTTATTACATCCAGAACCCAAACAATATGTATGCAGTTGCTTTAAACATGCCAATAAAGCCTAAAGAAGCAGTTTACAACATCCAAAAAGTAACAAGCCATTTATAAGTCTTTGATCAAGGTACTTACAAAAGGGCTAAACCCAGTATGCTTAAACCTATATTGTCAGCTTCAACCTAATCAGCAATGAATTCTTAAGTTTACTTTGTATACCCATCAACAAACAAGTGATGTCATTGCCAGTGACCTTAGCTAAAGCCAGATGAAGCAACTTCTCGCATAGACTATTATTTACTATTCCTGCTTCCCAAATAACCTTGTTTTATTTCTATAACTGCAGCCCAACCTTATGGTATTTCATATGTCTTTCTCACAATCTCATTCTTTTTGGGCATATGCTTTAAGCCTAAGACCTGTGCTAATATCTCATCTCAATTTAAAACCATAGTTCACCCTGGTCTAATGTGGGCCTATATCCCTACAATTGCAAAACCTTGGGAAGTATAAACAAACCAAAAAAAAAATCACAAGAAATCAAGTATGCATAGTGTACCACACTATCTGTGTTATTAACATGAACTATAACTAGTTTTTGCATTTATTTATATACTTTTTCAAAATCCTTAAAACTCTATTATACTGTAATAAAGCGATTAATGCATGTAGAAATGTATATATAATAATTACTGAGTCTCTAAGACAGAAGGCACATCAAAAATTGCATGTGTTCCTCATCAGTTACACACAGAAATGAAAATAATTTATCACTAACTCTATGAGGTGTAAGAGATGCCCTTTAATAACTGATTTAAAAGTCCATTACATATATTACACAAAATCAAATAAGCAATTTCCTTTAGTAAGCAATGCCAAAAGATATGACCAAAATAGTGATTTTTTTGTCTATTCTTTTGGTTAGACAAAGCCAGACTGTGCTTATTTGGTTCTTCAAAAAATGGATTTGGATTCCGGGACAGTGATCTGGATATCTGCATGACCTTGGAAGGCCATGAAAATACGGAGGTGGGAGTTCAGTATTTTGAAAATATATGGTGCAATTACATTTTATACTCTGAAATGAAGAAAGATTTATAATCCTTCATTTATTGACTAGATGAAATACAATATTTGTTAATAGTTAATGGCTCAGACTTTGCTATTTATTTTTCTAGAAACTAAATTCTAAGGAAATAATTGAAGGTTTGGCAAAAATTCTTAAAAAGCATCCAGGTAAGTATTCTAAATGTATTCTATATTATATTTACAATTACATATATATTTGTATATGTTTAACATTTATGGAAATATTTTATCCTGCCTTCTCAGGTTTAAAAAACATCTTGCCTATAACAACAGCCAAAGTGCCTATAGTAAAATTTGAACACAGACGGAGTGGCTTAGAGGGAGACATCAGCTTATACAATACGCTAGTAAGTTTCTCTTTCTGTAAATGCTAATACATATTCTGCAGGATTCTTTAGAAAGTTTGCCTACAGAAGTCTAAAGTATGGGGATAATATTAAAATTACTAGGGAAAAATTCTGAATCAGGAATGAAAATACCATATCCTATTTTTAAAAATATTTTCATTCAAATAGCCCCACATTCTCAGCCCAGTGCCTAGCCAGGTGGTTGGTTTGTTTGTGGCACAATGGTGGAGAGACCTTTCTTTTTAGTGCTTCAGGTTCACTGTTACCTTTTAGCTTAATGGATCCTGTTTGTCCTTTGGTTTCTGACTCTCACACTGTAAAAACAAACTTTCTCCTGCCATGGCCCCTATCAATGTTCCCATTAATTTGTTCCATCCATGCGTGGAATTCATTTTATTATGTATACCAAATGATTAAGGCAATAAGTAGATGTGTACCACCAATAGAAACAAAATTCCTAAAATATATATATTTTAAAAAGTTACCGTAGGGACAATTACTCTAGCCAGCACAGGTTAGGCATTTTAGAACTTACAACTCAAAGAATTATATTTAAATGTAAGAAAGAAAAAAATTATGAAATGCACAGATGAGTAAAAAAAATCTCAAATAACAGAGCTTTGACAGAATAAAATTACAGAAAATATAAGTGCATTACAGGAAATATCAAGTAGTAACAACAACAATACAAGTATGTGTTAAGATACGAGTGTGAAAGTGCGTGTGTGTATGAAAGACACGTGTATGTGAGAGAAAGAGAGACTGTATGTGTGAGAGATATGTGTGTGTGACAGAGAGATATGCCCTTTTAATTAGATGGGCACTTAAAGCAGCCAGAGGCAGCAGCCACCAGCAAACTCCCTCCATCCCACTCCTGACCTTGTCTAGTTTCCCCCACGCCATCCCTACACAGAGATGGAGTACAGGGGGAAGAGGACGCCCTGACATGAGCCTCCCATGATCTCCTTTGCCGGCCTCTACTCTGCATTAGGGATGTGAAGGACTAGTCACTTACCCTCTGCTTTGAGGAGGGGAAAAGAGTGGGGGTACTTCAAAGTATCAGGCTACTCCTGGCATTTCAAAGCAGCAGCGCCGCTTGGAGCCTGGGATCAGCTGAGGACTCCCCAGTCGATCCTGAGCTTCATGTGGTGCTGCCCCACAGCATTTCAAAGCGGCAGTGCTGTGCAGAGCCCAGGGTCAGTGGGGGAATTGCTACACTTCAGAGGCGGAGGAGCCCTAATGACTAATTGAATAGTCAGTCCAAAAATGCATTGATTATTTGATTAGTCAATTACCTGATACTTAACATTCTTACTCTGCATAGCAAACAACAGGCTCTTGGGAGTAGCTATAAAGCAGAGGGCAGGAGCAAAGGACAGTGGGGGAAGGGCACCAGAAGTGCAGGCTCTTGATAACTTGCTGTTCCCAACCCCATCTTAGAGGGAATTTAGGCTCCTACAAACCAGCAAAGGAGGGGCCAGGATTTGCCTTAGAATCACTCACTTTTTCAGTGACTCCATCTTTGAACAAGCTGCTTTGCTGGTGTGTTTATGTACTAATTTTTATGTATGTACTACTCTGAAGTCAGCCTTTAATTGAATTCTTGCAGCCCCATTGAAAATGTTGCATGAGAGTTGCTGAGCATACAAGTTATCGCCCTGTATATTTTGACTGTCTGCATCCTCCATGTCTGAATTGCAAGTCATATGATATTAAACTATAAAATATTGTTTGATACTTCTCTGTTTTCCAGGCACAGCATAACACAAGGATGCTGGCTACATATGCAGCTATTGATCCTAGAGTGCAATATTTGGGATATACAATGAAGGTTTTTGCTAAGGTAATATAAAAATACAGTACAACATGACTTTATCAGTGTTCATTGTTTGTATATCACTGTGCTCTGTGCTAGACTGTCATGTAAGCTCTTTGGGACAATGATTCTGAGGCCTGCTATAAAGGAAGTAAATGGAATCTTCTTAATCTGAGAATCAAGATGCTGCATTCTCAGTAGCTGTATATGGACATTTTCAAGCTTTAGGGCTTGACATGTGACTTATAAAGTGCCCTAACTGGCCTGTATAGACCCTGCTGATACAAATTAAGTCTTCCCTGGTATTTTTTAGAGATCACACTCTTCTTGCATACATTGCTGCTCCATGTATACAAGTCCTTAGAACCAAATATTGCTCTCAGTTATGTATGGTGAGTTCCCTTTGAAGCCAGTGAAATTGCAAATATATCCAGAGCAGAAATGGGCCGTAATGCCCTCTGTTGACTGTGGAACCATTTCTGTTTGATGGAAGTGTGATACTCTGAAAAAGTAGGTTTTAATTTCTTGAACTCATGCCAGTTACACCAACAAAAACTCTTAAGTGTATAATTGGGAATCAGAACGCACTGTGCATCCAGATGGTAATTTTTCTGGCTAAAATATTTTGCTTATCTTTCCCCTATAGTCTTGCAATAAAGCATAAAAGAACTTGTTTTTTTATGCGGAGAGATCTTGGAGATGAATAATATGTGCATCTGTAAATAACTTGGCATGCAGTCTCTTTGTTGATTGAAACACTATCTCTTTATTTGCTCTACATGATTTAATTGACTGCATAAACGGATTTTCATGAAAAGACTAGTGGAATTTGTTTTATTATTACTTTAGAGTTGTACCATAATACAAGCTGTTAATATGCTGCTGTCTGTTGAGCTAATTGAAATATACTTCTGACTTTCTTCCAGAATATTATAGTCTTTTATCCATTGTATTAGCCCTTATGCTAATAATTAATTTACAAGTGAGGATTAGATGGTATTTACATTCTTTGCAAGAGAGAGGGATGGTGTCTAATCCCAGTATTGGAAGCCAGGAATTCCTGACTTTCCCTGATGGGGACACTCCTCCTATGGCCTTCTTCAAGTCACGTAAATCATTTTACCTGTTTCACTGTCAGTCAAAATTGGAATAGTGGAAGGTTTGAAGAATTAATGATAACAGTGAATTTGGATTAATATTTACTAGGGCTGTCAAGCAGTTAAAAATTAGTTGTGATTCATCTCAGTTTTAATTGCACTGTTAAATAATAATAGAATACTATTTATTTAAATATTTTAGATGTTTTCTATATTTTCAAATATATTGATTTTAATTACAACACCGAATACTGGGTGTACAGTGCTCACTTTTTATTACTTTGTTTATATATATTTGCACTGTAAAAAGGTAAAATAAATGTATTTCAATTTGCCTCACACAAGTACTGTTGTACTACTACATCTTTATCATGAATGTTGAACTTTCAACTGTAGAATTATTATTTTTACATTACTCCCTTTAGCTGAGTGAGCCTTTATATGCTAGGGAGGATAGATTTTACCTCAGGGACTTGGCATGCTTCAGGGGAGGAGAGGCAAAGCTTGCCAGATGTCTGTTCTCTATGGCAATGTTTCGATAACTTTTTTGTGCTGATTGTGATGGGGTGTGGCCACAGAAGTCCTTTTAGGATTGTTCTCCAGTATGCTGATCATGCCATCCTTGCTCTCTGGGGCTCCCCACTACCCTCTCCTGCTGGACCAGATCCTCTGGACTCCCCTAGAAAAGGCACAGAGTTGGGATTACTGCCTCACTGAAGAGCAATGCAGATGCTGAACAACTTCAGCTCTGGGAGGATGCAGTTCTAGGGCACAGCACCCAGGAAACTAGGGATGTTAAATTTAGATTAATTAACAAATAGTTGATGGGCTTTCCATTGACTATTCGATTAGTCGATACGAGTGCCTCTGCTTTCAAACTGTTCAAAAGCAGAACCCCAGCAGGAAGCATGGGGGACAGTGGGGGACTGGCCCCACGCTCCCTGCAGTGCCTGAGCCTTTGAAATTAACAAGAAACCCAGCGGACTCTTGCTGACCCCGAACTCCCTGTGATGCCTCAGATTTTGACATGTACAAGAGCCGCAGTGAGGCTCTTGTACCTTTCAAAAGGAAGCCCCACAGGGAGCGCTGGGCCAGTGACTCCCTGCTGAGCCTGCGCTCCCTGTGGCTCCTGAGCCTTTGAAATGTACAAGATCCCCACTGGGGCTCTTGTACATTTCAAAAGCAGCAGCCCCACACGGAGCATGGGGCCAGTGACTCCACCATTGGCCCCGCGTTCCCTGTAGAGCTTCCTTTTGAAATGTACAGGAGCCTCACCAGGGCTCGTGTACATTTCAAAATCAGAATTGCAGCAGAAATGGTGTAACCAGAGACTGCATCAGTCCCCGTTCATGCCATTTCCCGTTGTGCCTCTGTCTCCTCTACCCTCTGCAGAAATGGTGCTGGGGGGGGGACTGGCTTCTAAGAGGGTTCCCCCCAGAACCAGCTCCTGCTTCTCCCCGTCCTTGCTGCCTCTCTCTGAATTATGCATATTTATATTCATGAGCCAATTTTTATAAAGCATAGTGGGAGGAACCACCACACTGGTGACCTCATTTTGACTAAAAAAATAATTGACACCCTTTCACTTGAAAAAATTATGACCCTTCCACCGTGAACCCTGCTCAGAGCATGGGGTTTAAACCTTCCTCGGGTGTGGAGCACTGGGCTTCTTCTCACCTTTGGGCTTCATGCTCTAGTCCCCCTCAGTGTATGGAGCTCCAGTCCCTGCCCTCCCCTGACCAGTAGCTTCAGTCCCCTCCCCGTCCCTGCTGCCTCCAGAGCAGTGGTTTCAGGCCCAGCCACCACCTGGAACTCTGGCTTCCCCACAAGCCCTGGAGCCCCACTGCAGTCTCCAGAGCTCAAGGCCTGTGGCTTCAGCCCCCCACTGTGGATGACTCCTTCCCCATCGAGAGGTAGGCAATTAATGTGTTAGAAAAATCACCAGTGTTAACTGCAATTAATTGAAGCCTTAGTAAGGTGCTGATCAAATTGAATTGCATTATGTGTATGTTTTTACGGTAAAGTGAACTGTTAGAAGAGTTATTTGAATACTAGACATGGAAACAGAGTTTAAAAGCACGTCTGTATGTTAGCATGTAAGCTCAGGGGTCAGTAAGTAGCACAAAATACTACTATCAGTTTTCCAGACCAAGGTTAATAAATGTCTTCCATTTTGATAATAGTTACAATTAACATATAGCTAAAGAAGATTTTTTACAGTAATGCAAGAATTCATATTTTCAAAATATTTTAAAAGGGATTTCAGATTAAAAATGGTATGTTTAATAAAATATGTCCATATGTGTATTGCTAATAAAACCATAATAAATTATACATCTTTCATTTTTATACGATAATTCACCATTTATGCGTAATGTTTGTAAATCATATAGCCTGAGCAATGTAAATACTCTAGTTGGTTTCACATTTGTAGTGTGTTATACGCTAGCATAATGTAACAGTTAAGTAAGTTGCAAATACTACAGGAAAATAAATAACTTTGCATAAAAATCATTAAAATAAAAATTTTAGATATCCCCCCCCCCCCTAAAAATATGGAAACTTCTTTGATAACATAAGGTTAGGAAAACGTTGGTTTCACAATATTGAAATTTTGGAACTAAATTGAGTTGGATATCAGAAAACTGTATAATTTTAGAGGCTATTTTAGAAAATTTGGGCCATGACATTCGGAAGACTGTTTCCCATTAGATTATTGAAGCTTTATGAGTTGATCAAATTTTGTTCCTAAAGTAGTTGACAATGTCTCTCTCTCTAAACTTGTTAACATTTATCTCTCAGACTTTGTTAAACAGTTTTTAATTCTGAAACAAATAATGGTAGTGTTAACGGTAGTTGAGTTTTTGTTCATTGCCATATAGTTCATAGAATTAAATACTGTAGTTTAATTTTCATTCAGTGCTTTGTTCAAAATGTATTTTGTCTAGCGTTGCGACATTGGAGACGCATCCAGAGGAAGCCTATCTTCATATGCCTATATCCTTATGGTGTTGTACTTTCTGCAACAGAGAAATCCCCCAGTTATCCCAGTTCTTCAGGAGGTAGGTTTTCAGAAAAAGATGTAATGGAAAAAGTAGCATTGTTTTTTAAGTCAAATTAGAAAGACTTTTTTCCTAAAGGCAATGAGTGCAAATAAAAATCCTGGGCCTCTTTTCATCATCCATTTTTTTACTTTTACTAGGTACTATAAGTAAAACCTAAAAATAAAACAGCAGCAAAACCAGGAAAGTATTTTTGACCTGGTTATATGCTGCTGAATTAATTTTTCTTGGCTTTTGGTCATGAGAGCTAGCCTGTCCATTGGATGCTTTGGGAGGCCCTGTGCTTTGAGGCGGATGTGAGGCCTGGGTGGTGTGCGGGCCATCGGCAGCACAACTGGCTCCATTCCACCCAACCCCCCACAGGAGAGGATTCGAGGTCTGGGCAGTGTGGGGGATGGTCGCAGTGCAACCCACTCTGCTCCACTTCTCCCTTCCCTTCCCCTCCCCTTCAGAGGTTCAGGGGACGCAGTAGCCTAGGTGTTGTGGGACCTGGTGGTGGCATCACTGGGCCCTCTCCACTCCGCGTCAAGGATGGAATATGAGGAGAGAGGGGGCAAGGGCTTGGGGAAGGGCTGGAGGGGGGGCGGTGGGGGAGAGGAAGAGGCAGGGGAGGAGCAGGGCCTGGAGCAGAGGGGAGCAGTTCCTCCCCCAATGGACACCCCTTTTGGTCATACTATGATGTTTGTACAATCAAGAGTAAAGGATTCAAATCAGCAAGAAGTTGTAATGATGCCCTGGGTTAGAAGTCCCAAGTTCTAAT